GATCATCATCATCATCATCATCATCATCATCATCGATCTCCTCCTCCTCCTCAGCTGGAAAAAAGCTGTCACTTTGTAGATTTCACAATGGGTTTATCAGCACCCATCTCCTTTCATTAAGTTGCGCCTGGTCTGGGGTGGAAGTTCTGTTTTCCGTTTTCCTTTTGTTCCAAGCTGAAAAGGAGGCTTTTAGAGCTGGCTAGTTATTATTCGTTTCCTATTCTTTTATGTTTGACCCAATCTGGCCGCTAGTTTTCTCTTTCTGGGCCTTTAGAAGAGGATTTGTAGAGAAAAGGAGAGAAGAAAGGGGAAAGCAGACAGAGGAGAGAGTTGCAACCTAATAAACCGCTAAATGCTGTGGTCTTTGTGACTGCCTTCTGTGTCTCTTCCTGGCCTCTTTCTCTCCTTCCCCCTCACCATCCCCCCCCCCCCACCCCTTGGCATTGTTGGTGGTCTGAAAAAGCTGCTTGTTCTCTGTAGAATTTGAGCACAAAGGACCATGATTCACAAGCTTCTTTACTGGGGATTTAAAATGTGTTTATTTTATTTTTTAATTCTTTTCCTGGAACCTGTTATCTCCTTTCCTTTCAGTCTATTTTTATGAAATGTTTTGCTCCTTCCCCCTCTCCCCACCTCCCACCCCCACCCCCTGCCCAAAAATAAGGAAAGTGCTTTTCTAGGTAAGTAGTGAGGGGTATAGGACTCTCAAAGGCAGGCAGGTTCATTTCTTTTCAATGGAGATGGAGAAGTTTCCATTTCTATTGTTTCTTAGGACTTCAGGATCGTAAGCATTCAGGTGTCCTGTACTGTTACATGCTTCATGCTGCGGCAAAACTGTAAGCTACTTGTGGACAGGGTCTTGTTCACCAGATCGTGTACTCTATGCAATAATGGGTAAAGATCTTTGATTTTTATTTTTATTTTTGGTGGTGATTGTTGATGAATCCCTCTTTGGAATACTGGGAATTACATATGCTAGGCAAGGGCTTTTCCACTGTACTATATCCCAAACCCATTTTGTTATGACAGGGTCTCTCTAAGTTGCCCTGGCTGGTCTCAGAACTCACCATCCTCCTCCTTCAGCCTCCTAAGAAGCTAGATTATAGTCATGTACTTCTTTTTGGGGGGAAGAGGGGTGGTCGGTTGTAGGGCTTGAACTCATCCTGGGGACTGTCCCTCAGCTCTTCCGCTTAAAGCTAGTGCTCTACTACTTGAGCCACAATGCCATTTCTGGCTTGTTCTGTGTATGCGTTACTGAGGAATTGAACCCAGGACTTCATGCATGCTAGGCAAGTACTCTTACCACTAGGCCACATTTCCCAGCCCATAGTCATGTACTTCTGGGCTCAACTTACACGGTGCTTTGCTAGGGACCAGTGAAGACTTTTTTTGTTTCAGAACAAGTTCATTGTAGTTCACACTGTGTTGATGGAAAAATTTGACAAATCCACTGATCTCCTTTATCTGCTAAATACTATGTAGGTAGACTGTACAAATTCTTATTTGACATACTTGCCACTTGCCAGTATCTTTCAAGAAACTGGAAATTTTGTCTTGGACTTGAAGCACCTTACCATCTAGTTAGGTAGTTGAGGTAGTAAGAGTTATGAGTCATAAGACTCTTATCACCTATGCAATGGTAGAGCTTGTACTCAACTTATTACTAGAACCATGCCTTCAATCCTTTATGCTTATAGTTTTTTTTTTTTAAGGTAGGATTCATGTTTTTACCTAGTTCAGCCCTACCTACAACTGTGATACAGCTAAGGATTACAGGCGTCCACCACCATATCCAGCTTATTTATTCAGATGGAGTTTTAGTAACTTTTGCCTGGGTTGGGCCTTGAACCCCGATTCTTTCAATCTCTTCCTTCCCCAGTTGCTAGAATTACTTGTGTGGAGGAACACAGCCTCATGACACCTTATTAGAAGTAGGTAGCCTTTAAGCTGGCCCTAGGAAACCTGGGATACGTGACAGCGGGCGCAGTGGGACTCACATAACAAATGATTGAAGCTTAAATAGTTCACATTAGGTAAAAGAACAATCGTCTTTTATTGGACATTCTCAAGAGCTATCTGATTGTGCCTGGCGCCAGTGGCTTGCACCTGTAATCCTAGATCCTCAGGAGGCAGAGATCTGAGGAGCACAGTTCAAAGGCACAGGAAAGTCCGTGAGACTCTTAACCTGCAATTACCAAAAAGGTGAAAGTGGAGCTGTTTAAGTGGTAGAGCTCAAGTCTTGAGCAAAAGAGCTCAGGGATAGTGCCTAAACCCTAAGTTCTTTTTTTTTTTTTCCTTTTTGTTGGTTGTGGGGCCTGAACTCTGGACCTGGGCGCTGTCCCTCAGTTCTTCAGCTCAAGGCTAGTGCTCTTACCATTTGAGCCATAGTGCCACTTCCAGCTTTTTTTGCTTCTGTGGTGCTGAGGAATGGAACCCAGAACCTCATGCATGCAAGGCAAACACTATACCACTAAGCCACCTTCCCAGCCCCCTAAGCCGTAAGTTCAAGCCCCAGGACCAGCACACAAACACACAAGGTACCTGTTTGCAAAGACAGAAAATACATTCAGAGGAGTTCAGATTTATTGTGTACACACATATGTATGTATACACTACGTGTATTAGGTCCAGTGGAGTGAAGCATCACATCTGAAAGTGGTCACTAAAGTGGTTAAGCAGAGGCAGGAGGATAGCAAGTTCAGGGTCAGCCTGGGTTACACAGAAAGGGCCTTACTCAAAGGCAAGCAACAGTCATCAACCTTAACAGTGGAAGATTTCACCTTTTCCCCTAAGGTTGGGGGACCAAGACAAAGGACCTCTGTTCTCACCACTCAAGGGCAGCATAGTGCTGAAAGTTAGCGAAAACACAGGTGGAAGGGGAAGGGTTGCGTTGGACATGACTGCCAGTGGGAGTTGTCTTGTAATGGAAGAGCTGTATGTCTTCCGAGTGGAACTTAAGTGAAATGACACACGAAATTGCATTAGCTGTCACACAAGTAAATGCATATAAAAATTGGAAACAAATTGAGAGTCAAACCCTAGAATAGCACCCAAAAAAAGTTTTTGTTTTGATTAAGCTCTGTGGCTCCTACCAATTTCGGACTTAATTGCTTCCTCAAAAGTTTTGCTGGAAGCCCACATTGGGGATGATTGGATGAAAGGACATAAGACCTTCTACATATCTTCCTGAGATTCAGTAATCATGCCTCAAACTTCTAAAGGTTTCAGGGCTGAGAATGTGGCTTAGTGGTAGAGTGCTTGTCTAACATGCATGGAAGTCCTAGGTTCAATTCCTCAGTACCACATACACAGAAAAAGCTGGAAATGGTGCTGTGCTCAGGTGGTAGACTGCTAACCTTGAGGGCCCAGGCCCTGAGTTCAAGCCCCAGGACTACCTCTCCCCCACCCCCACCCCCAAACAAAAATATGTTGCTTTCACTCTTTTGCTATTAGAAACATTTCTCTTCTGAAAAAGCTTTGCAGGTTTTCTCTATGGGAAACTGTCAAAATTGGATATCTGAACTAGAATTTATTTGTACCTGTAATTTTTTTTTTTTTTTTTAAGTCATGGGCCTTGAACTGTCCCTGAACAAGATTAGAGCTCTACCACTTTGAGCCACAGCTCCACTTCTGGTTTTCTAGTGGTTCATTGGAGATAAAAGTCTCACAGATTTTCCTGCCTGGACTGGCTTTGAATTGTGATCCTCAGATCTCAACCTCTTGAGTAGCTAGGATTACAAGGCATGAGCTATCAGAGTCGACCTGTACTATATTTGCTCTGCCAGTGGACCCAGTTCAAATACCTTCTAACAGTGGATCTTCATCCCCTCCTACTGTGGTTATTTTCACATAGTTGAGGACCTTTGACAGTGTGGTAGGTCAAAAATAGCATTTTAATTTCATTTTAATTTTCTTTGCTCAGACTTAGGATTAGACCCTTTTCAAAAGGTTCTTTTGATCATTTCTCATGTATTGCTGGTCATGTAAGAGTTATTGATGTGTAGCAGTAATTAATGTAACCTGTCTTCAAGTTCAACTATTTTGAAATACTTGTCTTTTTTATTTTTTAATTATTATTTTAGCCAGTCCTGGGGCTTGAACTCAGGGCCTGGGCACACTGTCCCTGAGATTCTTTTGTTCAAAGCTAGTTCTCTACCAGTTGAGTCACAGCGCCCCTTCTGGCTTTTGTTTTTCTGTGTATGCGGTACTGAGGAATGGAACCCAGGGCTTCATGCGTGCTAGGCAAGCACTCTGCCACTAAGCCACCTTTCCAGCCTTAATTGTATTTTTATGTAGTCATGTTTTGTGGCTCTGGATTCTGAGCCAGTTAGAAATTACTAATACTCAGGATTACACATTTCACAATAATTTAGTGCCTTCAGCCATAGTTCTATTGAAATCTGGAGTAGCCCCTCAACCCAGAACAGTTTATGCTTCTGTATTTCTGGCTCAGGGTCTGGTTCCACAGATCTCGGCCTTGTTGGAAATCTGGGTCACTGCTAGAACTAGAGCAGGTTAATCTTGCATTCTCCATAAAATGGTTCTTTACAGGGAAAGGAAGTAAGGGGAGGACATTGGATGATGATCTGGCTCTTACCCCATCTCTCAGCAACATTTGTTCCAAAAGATTGACTGGTAGAAGAGGTTTTTGTCCCCCTGTGTGCTCTGGAAGCTAGTGATTGGGTGACAGAGTCTCTTTGATGGGTCTCAAGGGAAGGGAAACCAAGCTTTAAGGGCTATTTCTTTCCCTTGATCACAAGTGCAAATCCCACTTTGACTGTGTTATAACAGAGCCAAGCTCCCAGAATCACTGCAATCTAAAATTGCCCTCCATCGCAGCAAGAAATTGGTCCTTCTGTCCACCTTTTAGCAGCATGGAATTTTTTGTTTGTGTTTTCTGTAACAAAGTGCTTGTTAGTTGTCTGCCTCTGCTAAGCCTTGCTTTTTCCAAATGCGTATAAAGCACATTTGTTTAGAATAATTCCTGCTCCCACCTTTAGGAATAGCCAGGCCAGAAGAAGGAAAGGCTGCTGCTGTGAGTGTGACTGGAAATGACATCACTACCCCCCCAAATAAGGAGCTCCCACCAAGTCCAGAGAAGAAAACAAAGGTAGGTGCTAGGATGGTGGCTCACTTCTTGTGTTATCTTTCTTTTTTTTTTTTAAAGATAATCTTTTGCTATTATTGCTTGAATCATGAACATAGTTTCTTTTTTTCTGAGCTATATTGTGAGTCTTTCTTCTAGGTCCAATGTGTGAAGAATTTTCCTTTGATCCTGTAATCTTATATATCTGTAAAAATGCTCCATAAAGCTTATTTCTTCTTCCTCCTCAAGAAACAAAGCAAAAGTACAATTACGAAAGTAATCTGAATCTTTGAGAAAAGGAAATACAGATTTTTAAAGGATCATAGCTTCAGACACTTAGTTTTGCTTATTGCAAAGTGCAGATGTCATACTTTAGGATATAGTGATCTTGCTTGATCAAGATGCAAGTAATACAAGCAAGGCATGGTGGTACATACCTGTAATTCCAGCCATTTTGGAGCTTGAGCAACATAGCAAAACCCTGTTTAAAAAAAGCAAAGTCAGGCACCGGTGGCTCATGCCTCTAATCCTAGTTACTCAGAAGGCTGAGATCTAAGGATCGTGGTTAAAGCCAGCCTGGGCAGAGAAGTCTATGAGACGCTTATCGCCAATAAACTACTCATAAAAAGCCGATGTGGCTTTTTATGGCTCAAGTAGTAAAGTGTTAGTTTTGAGCACAAAGAGGCTCGGAACAGTGCCTAGGCCCTAAGTTCAGGCTTTACAACCAGCTAAGCAAAAACAAAAATAACCCTAACAGAACAAAACATGAAAGGGTCAGGTAATAATGGCTTAATCATCTGCTGATAGTTTTCTTTATAGAATTATTGCAACCACCAAAAATTAAGGATGTAAAGCTATTATTGGACTTAAATGTTTTAAATATGAAACTTATCATTGGTGGCCCTATCCTTAAGAGATGTTGCTCACAGTGCTGGGAGCATAGTTTAGTGGTAGAGTGTACATAGCACATATGTTTCCCCAGTTCAATCCCAGCACCAAAAAGAAAAGAGGAAGAAAAACTGCTGCAAGTCCTTTATTTGTCTCTATCCTGGTGTCCCTGAGCTCAGAAGAAAGGAATGCTAATTTTCAGTTGCTTTGATCTTCATTACTTATAATTTTACTTTGAATTGTGCAACTTATACTTTTTTTAATTTGTGTCTTTTTTTATTGTCTGTATGTTCGATGTTGGTCTTTAAAAAAATAAAAATAAAAATAAGCAACCATCAACCAAGACTTCAACATCGAAAGTCAAATCCCAGCCCACTTCTCTCCTTAAACAGTCATCTTTAACCACCTCTGGTGGGTTGAATAAAAAACCCATGAGCCTTGCTTCAGGCTCAGCACCAGCTACCCCACCCAAACGCCCTGCAGCCGCCACAGCCAGGCCTTCCACCTTACCTGCAAGAGACGGGAAGCTAAAGGTAAGTCAATCACTAAGCACCATGCCAGGGCAAGATTCCTCCTTTTGAGTGTCACATAGGTTCTGATGGTGGAGCTGGGCTGGTAGAATTGATAAGGGCAAAGGGCAAAGGAAGGCTAGTGCTTTGATCAGTTTGGGGACCCAATAAAGCAGCCATAACCCTTTAAAAACACTTACTGTTTTCACTTTTTTTCTGTCCTAGCTGGAGGCAATATCCCGCCCACTTCCCCTTTCCCTTTCTCTCATCTATTCTTTTCTCTTTCTTTTTTGGTCGGTAGTGGGGCCTGAACTCTGGGCCCAGGTGCTGTCCCTCAGCTCTTCAGCTTAAGGCTACCACCCTACCATGTGAGCCATAGCGCCACTTCCGGCTTTTCCTGCTTTTGGGGTGCTGAGGAATTGAACCCAGAGCCTCATGTGTGCAAGGCAAGCACTCTACCACTGAGCCACCTTCCCAGCCCCTCTTTCTTTTTTCTTTTTCTTTTTTTGTTGGTCCTAGGGCTTGAACTCAGAGCCTAGGTGCTGTCCCCGAACCATAGTTGGTTTAGTGAACCATATGTAATATTATTAAAAGCTTGGTTTGGTTCTCAAATTTCAGAGCAGAGATGGAGCCCATAGGTTGTAGCAGAACCAATTACCCTGATTCTGATTTCAGGTTTGCCTGAAAAAAATTGCAGGTTTTTCAGACTAATGGCCTCTGGTTTTAGAAAGTCATTACCCTGTATTGGCAAAGTTACCCTTGGTTTTTTTAGATACTAGCCCTCTATTTCTTTTTTTCTTTCTGTAAGATGCCCTTTGTTATTGTTGTTATTGGTTGTGGCATTTGAACTCTGGGCCTGGGTGCTGTCTCTGAGCCTCTTTGTGCTCAAGGCTAGTGCTCCGCCACTTTGAGTCACAGCACCATTTCCTATTTTCTGGTGGTTCATTGGAGATAAGAGTCTCATGGACTTTCTGCTCTGGCTGGCTTTGACCTGGAACCCTCATGTCTCAACCTCCTCAGTATGAGCTCCTGGCACCTGGCAACACACACGCCCGCGCGCGTGCGCACGCACGCACGCACGCACGCGCACGCACGCACGCACGCACGCACACACACACACACACACACACACACACCCTCTCTCCCCCCCCTCTTCCTGTCTATCTCTCTCTCTCTCCCTCCCTCTTCTCCCTCTCTCTCTCTCTGATTTGGCTCCAGCTTTTTCTCTTAAAGTAACACGGCACATATATCTACTAAAGCAGTGTCTCCATCCCTTTTCCATAGAAATCAAGATAAACTGACACTTTCCTTTCTCACCAGTGATGGGGCTCCCTGCCTCCCCATATGAGGAACTAGAATGACCAAAATGCCATAAATTAGTCCTGGGAGGTTTTATTTTCCTCTCTGCTTTCCTTTCTCAGCTGCAATGCTAGTGTCTTTCATTCCTGTGATGGATAGGCCTGCCCCTTATCAAGACTTCACGTCCTGTCTTTCCTAACAGTGTTACTTATGATCAAATCTGTGCCTTAGTGACACAGTGTCACTTTCTCCTCTTCCTAAATAAGGAAAGCTCAGAGTGGCCTCGTGATTCATTGGTCCCACAACATACTGAAAGCTAGGGGGCAAAGTTGGGCTGCTGCTCAGCTCCTCTTTCCTAGATCTTGCCAGTAACCTATTATCTTCCACGGCCTAATCATGCCAGTGGTTCATGCCTGTCGTCCTAGTTACCCAGGCAGATAAGACCTGGAGGATTGCAGCTCAAATCCAGACCACTCAGCAAAGTCTGAGAGAACTCTTTTGTCTTTGAAATAGCAAAAAGCAGGACTGGTGGTATGGCTTAAGGTGGTAGAGTGCCAGTTAAGGAAGCAAGCTAAGTTGTTGTGAGGCCCTGAGTTGAAACTTAAGTATTGTCAGGGAGAGAGAGGGAATGAGAGGGGGAGGATAAGGGGAGGGGTGGTGAATCTAGTGCCAGTGTGACTCAAAAAGTAGAGGAAAAAGGGAAAGGGAAGAAAAACAAATAGCTAAAATTGAGCAGAACATATTTAATTTCTGGTTTGTATGTTTTACCCTTGGCAAGTATTTGCAGTCCCAAGATAAATGTAGTTTGTGGTGTGCAAAACTTCCCTAGTATTCACACATACTAAGTATATTTGACTCCATTTCCTAAACTCAGATCACACAGCAACTTATATGACCGGTTTCTTGCTCTTGTCAGGAGAACTGAAGCAATTTCCTATAATTAAGTGCTGAGCCCACAGTCTCTCCTCCCTTTCCCCCTCCATCTTCCCCAATTTCATGTTTCCTGAAGCCATTGCTCACGTATCCTTCTGCCGTCTTTCTTTCCCATCCAGCCTGCTGCAGAAGCAAAGATTCCTGAGAAACGGACCTTACCACCCAAGCCCACCTCTGCTCCAGCCCTCAGATCTGTACCCAAGAATACCTCGACTGCCCCCAAAGCCACATCATCTGCTACTCTTGTCTCTCCTGGGCAGAGCAGTAGAAGTGCCCCCACACACTTGTCCAAGAGACCCACCAGTGAGTATAGCCAATGGGGAGAGATGGGAGCAAAGCCTGGTTAGCTCCAGCCAGCATCCACTGCTGTGAAGATCTCCTTCACTAGTCCTTAGGTGCGGTACATTGCCCAGTGGCTATGTGATGGCTTGTGTTAATGTCCCATGAATTTGCAGGCTGCATATATTCCTGTTCTAGTGACTCCTTAAGTCCTAGTACTTTTGTCTATGATAAGAAATGTGGCTGAGGCCCTGGTGCCAGTGGCTCACACCTGTTATCCTAGCTACTCAGGAGGCTGAGATCTGAGGATCCTAGTTCAAAGCCACCCCAGGCAGGAAAGTCTGTGAGACTCTTTATCTCCAATGAACCACCAGAAAATTGGAAGTGGCACAGTGGGTCAAGTGGTAAGAGTGCTAGCCTTGAGCTGAAGAGCTGAGGGACAGTGCCCAGGCTTCAATATCCATGACCCACCAACAAAAAAAGGAAGAAAGGGGCTGGGAAGGTGGCTCAGTGGTAGAGCACGTACCTTGCATGCATGAGGCCCTGGGTTCGATTTCTCCCCACCTCCCAAACAAATATGAAGCTCCTGGGTTTACAGGGTTTAGGTCAGTGGTAAGAGTACTTGGTAGCACATGTCCAAGCCCTGGCTTCAATCCCTAGCACTGCAAAATGGAAAAATAAACGTGGAAGTTGAGTCTCATGGGTATTTATGATTAGCTACTGCTAAAGCAAAAAAGTGTAGAGAAAAGAAGGGTGAACACCCGTTGCTGTATAAGAGCACAGTCCTTGTGGCTGTCAGAAATGTGCTCAGTCCCTCCCTCAAAAATGGACATTCAGTATTGTCAAAGGAATGATAAATCTCAGCAACTCAGTAGGTTGCTTTGTTAAACACAATAATGTTCATTTGTTTTGTGCAGCCCTTAAGACGGAGGGCAAACCTACAGATGTTAAGAAGATGACTTCAAAGTCTGTACCAGGTAATACCCCAATCCCCACCCCCCAGTCACTCCTCATGGAACCCTAACTTCAACTCCCACCTCTTCTGGTGGTGTCTTATGTCCCCCTCGTTCTTTCCCCTTTGACGTCCTGTGCTACCTCTTACTCCTGCTTGGCAGCTGACTTGAGTCATTCAAAGAGTACCTCAGCCAATTCCACGAAGAGAAATGCCACTACTACAGGGACGACCGTCCCAGCCCCACCACGAGCGAAGCCCACCTCCGCCCCTCCCCGGCCCTCTGCCACTGCTTCGCTGGATAAGAAGCCCACGGCTGCCAAGGCCAGCTCTTCTGCCCCCAGGCTGAGCCGGCTGGCCACCAATGCCTCTTCTCCTGTCCCGGATCTGAAGAACGTCCGTTCCAAAGTTGGTTCTACGGAAAACATCAAACACCAGCCTGGTGGAGGCCGGGTGAGTGCAGAGAGCTTAGGGGTTCTCAGCATGCAGGTCCCCGGTTCTCTCCTGCTACATCTAACTCCTCCCCCAAAGAACAGCCTGATCTCCCCTGTGGGCCTTGATCCCCTGAGCAAGTTGACTGAGTTTCTGTGCTTTATCTTCTCATCTCAAACAAGGGGATCCGGTGGGAGGGAGCATTTTTCTTTGAAGATAGATGGATTCTTATACATTTTTTTTTTGTCCTGGGGCTTGAACTCTCAGCCTGTGCGCTGTCCCTGGGCTTCTTTTGTCAAAGCTAGCATTCTACCACTTGAGCCACAATGCCACTTCCTGCTTTTTCTGTGATTACTTAGAGATTCGAATCTCAAGAACTTTCCTCTGCCCCCTGGCTTTGAACTGTGATCCTTAGATCTCAGCCACCTTAGAAACAAGGATTACAGGCATGAGCCTTTCTATATACTTTCTATGAAGAAAGAACCCCAATATCTCTGAAGCCTCCTTAGGCCTTGGAACCCTCCTCAGAGATCCTGAGTATATCTTTATTTTTTTTTGTTGGTCATGGGGCTTGAACTCTGGGCCTGGTCACTGTCCCTCCGCTTTCAGCTCAATGGAGCACTCTACCACTTGAGCCACAGTTCCATTTCCAATTTTCTGGTGATTAATTGGGCATAAGAGTCTCACGGACTTTCCTGCCCCCACTGGCTTTGAACCTCGATCCTTAGATCTCAGCCCCCTGAGTAGCTGAGATTACTGGCGTGAGCCACCAGTGCCTGGCTGATTCTGTCTTAGAGGGTGGTTTTTGCCATACGCAGTGAAGGAGAGCCTAAGTCGAAGGCAGAATGCCTCTTAATAGCTGTGATTTGGATAGCGTGTCTCGGGATGAGGATTCCTGGTGGCCACAGTGGGCTGCCCTTGCAAGCTCCTCACTTGATGGTAAGCACGATCACTGCAGGATAGTGCAGGTGAAAGCACAGTGAGTGCTTTTTCAAGGACATTTGGGTTGTATTGGTTCTGGAAGTGTGTGTCAGTTGTTAACAGCCATCACAGAAGGCCATCTGGGAAGGTTCAAGGTCCTGGAGTAGTTCAAGGTCCTGGTGGCTTCTCCTGTATCCATAAGAGCACTTCCACCCCACAGCCACCATCAAGGGTAGGATACCGCAGTCACCTCAATTGAGGTAGGGCAAAAATAAGGCAGAATCCTGGCACAGTTGGAAAGACCTTCATAAACGGGTATTGATCTGAGATCAGGACCCCAGGAGTTGCTTTTGGTACGCATTGGTGGCTCTGGCGTGCCCAGCCCGCCTCCCAGGTAGCACCGCAAATGACATTTCTGTTTTTCTCATTTTAGGCTTTCATAGCACAAAAATCCAGGAGGTCTTGAGTAACGTGCTGTTTTCTGTTCTAATATACCAGCACTTCCACTCACTGTGGCTGAGACTATGGGCGTGCATTTGGATGTCTGAGAATACAGTAGAATTGAGAGAGAACACTGTGATTCGAAAATCACCACCACGGGGGGGCAGGGGAGCGGGGTGGGGGGTGGGGGGAAGGGAAGAGGGAAGAGGACCACTAATTCCTCTGCATCTCTTCTTCACAAATGGTGTTTTGATCTCTTTCTTCCTCCTATCTTAAGATTCTGGCCTGCAGTTGCTTCCCCTAAATTCCTCTACTCAGTCATCTCTGTCTTGGTCTATTCGGGGGTGGGGATGGGTGGTGGTGGTGGTGGTGGTGGTGTGTGTGTGTGTGTGTGTGTGTGTGTCTGTGTCTGTGTCTGGGTGTATGTATACACTATATAGACAAGTAAAGGTAAAGAATATTAAAAAGACTTAGAGGTAATACAGTGGAGTTATTTGAGGGTGATAGACTTATGGGGGAACTGCTCCCCCTTCTGCTGGGGTCGGGGCCTGGCCTAGATTTGCATTCTCCAGTGCCTTCTTCCTTTCTTGTCCTTTGGGCTCTCATCCTTTTGGTTTGAAATTTGCCCTTCCTTTATCTCCATCCAGGCCAAAATAGAGAAAAAATCAGAGGCAGCTGCCACAGCTGGAAACGCAGTCACTAAAACAGCCATCCCCATTGAAAGCACACAGAAATCACCTGCTGGCAAAGTGAGTTTTATATAGCCTTTCCTTTGGGGAGGTAAACATTTTTCTTCAGCCTGAGTCGCTTTCCCATCTGTTCCTTCCTTTTTGCTCTTACCCATCACTAGTTTCTAGTTCTTCTTCCCCATGTTCTCTCCTCTGATGAATCAGCCATCAGAAACTTGGTGTGCCAACCCCGGAAGCTAACAAAAGAGTTAGGCCGCGTTAACCCTTTGGTCACTCAGCTGGATAAAGGAACTTCAAAAACTTTGGAGTCACTTCCTTCAGACTGACCTTGATTTGAAAATCACCCGGTATGCACGTGAACAGAGCACGTCCGGGTTTGTCCTCATCAGATGTAGCCATGCCTCTTAACTTGAAGTAGACTTCTCTTACAAAGCTACTGGATATGGAGATAGCCTTTGTCTGACCTGTTCCCTAGGTCACCTCTTCACTGAAAGCCAGGGTCTCACCTATGGTGAGAGCTCACTTAGTATAGTAAATGTAACATCTCTCCTGGAGGACACAGGCAAACTGAAACCCTCGATTCCTTCCCCTTTGCCTCCATATGCTGGAAGCTGGTGGCAAACCTTCCTTCCGTCAGACAGGTGGATTTCTCAAGGGCCATCAGTGAAGCCTGACCTTCAGCCCTTAGGTTCCAGGATGGGAACTCTTAGCCCAAGGAACTTCTTTACAAAGGGGGTCAGAGAGCATGAAGCAAGCTGCATCGTGGCTTCTGGGTTCACTACCAAGGGATCTTGTGTTTGTCCTTGATTCAAAGAAATGCTTGGGGCTGGGAAAATGGCTCAGTGGTAGAGTGCTTGCCTCACATGCATGAGGCCCTGGGTTCAATTCCTCAGCACTGCATAAGCAGAAAAAGCCAGATGTGGCGCTGTGGCTCAAGTGGTAGAGCGCTAGCCTTAAGCTGAAGAGCTGAGGGATAGCTCCCAGGCCCAGAGTTCAGGCCCCATGACCAACCAAAAAAAAAAAACTTACCAGGAAGTGGTGTGGTAACAATTATTCATGGTTCAAGTTGTCAAAAAGGCAAAGAAATGGAGAAAGACACACAATGGGTTTATCAGTTTGGAGTTCCATAGGGTAGATTCCTATATTCTGTAGACTCGGTAGTTTGGTTGTTACATCATTTTCTAAAGAACTTCCAGCTCTGAGCCGGGCGCTGGTGGCTCACGCCTGTAATCCTAGCTACTCAGGAGGCTGAGATCTGAGGATCGCGGTTCAAAGCCAGCTCGGGCAGGAGAGACCGTGAGACTCCTATCTCCATTAAACCACCAGAAAACTGGAAGTGGCGCTGTAGCTCAAGTGGTAGAGCGCTTGCCTTGAGCTGAAGAGCTGAAG